TGCCCATCTCTCTCCTCTCCCACTGCCACCCCTGTGTCCACTGCCCCCCATCTGGCCCTTCCACTGCTACTGTGCCACCCCTTACCTCTCCCACCACCACTGTGTCCACTGCCCCCATCTGGCTCTTCCACTGCTACTGTGCCACCCCTTTCCTCTCCCACTACCTCTGTGTCCTCTGACCCCCTGGCTCAGACCCTCTCCCCCCCCTGGGGTACAGCGCACTCACCTGGCCTCTCCATCTGGGATAGTTCCACCACTGCCAGCCTTGGGTGGTCTGTACTCACACAAATTAGGCAGCTGCAAAGCCCCAGCATGGGCTGAGGCAGCCGCCTAATTTGCCTAACTACAGTGCAGCCTCTGCTTTGGGTCTTGATTGTTCTGTGCGGCTGACCGGGTCCAGCAGTGCGGCGGAGGGAAGGAGCGATAATTTTCTCGGGGGCATCCCCGGATCCGCCACTCCAGCTTCCTATAATGTATTTGCTGGAATTTGTAGTCCTGTATAGCTGGTGGTATTCTGCATTCTTGTATAATCATTATACAATATACATCAAGTCAGCAATACTGAATAGCACCAGTTAGTCTCCCAATAAACCCAAGGAATAGGTACAAAAACTTACCTTATAACTTGTTTCGCTGGCAGCTGAAGCTCGCATTTGTTGGCTGACACTCTAGAATGTGGGCAGGCCCTTACTTTTCTCCCATAGAATGCAGGACTGCTGGTCCTGCATTTTACGTGATGACTTTAGACAGCTGCAACTGGCCAAGCAGCAAAGTAAAGCAGCATAGGGGAACCAGTCACATTGAGAGGAGGAAGCCTGCGGGAGTGAGGAATAAGGTATTTTTTTCTGTTTATTCCTTCTCCCCTAGCCACACAAACAATTAAGCCATGAATCATAGAGGGGAGCCTAGAGTGGGGCTCTAAGACATTGTAAAGTGCTGTAATGTGCAGTACCCTACAGTAACAATATTTATTTTTAGATTTCAGTTTAGAGCAGCTAGAGCAATGGTAATTGGGTAATAAGGGGTACTGTACATTATAACAGTTAAAAAGTGGCTTTGTTGGTATTATGGATGGAGGTGTATCATTTTCACATGTATATAAATTATGATTGTACTAGTAACATCAATTTTTACATCAGTCTATAAGTTCTTTGCATAAGAAACTAGAATACTGGAATAGTAAATAAATGCTACCTCTCTAATATCTGTACTGCTAATAACCATGTGTTCTGTGTAGTGACATGAACTTGTGCTACCCTGACCTCATTCTGTCTTCTCATTTTTAAAACTGAACGGATTGCTCTCTGCCGTGTTAGCTTGAACACTTTAGAGTATAACCTGCTACGTGCTGATAAGTTTGATGTTATGATGTCTATATACCACTGCAATTCTAAAACATTTTTCGTAGTATACACTATGGTAGCTGCCCATGGGGTATCTGATTTTTTGATAAGCAATTATCCAACAGCCTGTGAACATATGTGTGTTTGGCATACAGTATCTGTTTAACAACTTTGCACATTGACCGACCACTTTATAACTGAAAGACATTGCTCAGATTTGAAAATTCCAAACAATCTAATAGGGTTAACTGTTGATTCTGCTTAATTGAGATACAACATAATATGTGGCTTGCATAAATGTGCCTGTTCACTTAAAAAGGTGATCATATAGTATAGTGTTAATCATAGGCATGCGCACAGGGTGCCTGGGCACCCCCTAATCATCCTGAGCGCAACACCAAAACTGCATGAACCAAACTGCAACAGTGGGTGCCATGTTTTTAGTCACTGAGCTGATGGAGAGATCACAAAGATCTGTGACCAGCTCAGCGATACAGAGCACAGCAGCACTTGCCACTTACATTCCTCACATAGTAGCTGCAGTCCTCTGTGCCTGGGAAGTCACGAGGGAACGTGGCTGTGCTTACGCAGGCTTCCCATCCAATGAGGAAGCTGGGCGGTGGTCACATGACCACCTCCCAGGCTCCCTGCTTCATTTTCATTGCCACACCCCTGCTGGAAGAGGTAAGGGACAGTTAAAGAGATGGGAATCTGGAATGCCTCAGATCTGTGTATGCATTACCTATATGTAATATATATATATATATATGTTGTGTGTATGTATATGTATACTGTATATGCATGTATGTTTGTACTTTGGTGTGCACAACCTATTGCAATAGGCTGCACATTCCTTTTGCATACATAAAGAGTGGAGCAGTAAGGAGTAAATAATGTACAGCATAGAGTACAGAGTGTAGTATGAAACCTTTCTTAGGTTCACATAGAGATGCCACTCCTTATTTATACAAAAATACATACCTACAATGGGTAGGCAGCAACGTAATCCAATAGATAGGTGTGGCTGACATGTGACTGAAAAACAGAATGGCAGAAAGCATTTAAAGGTATACTTTTTATTGAACCCTTTTAGGTGTTTGCAGGTTCAATTTATATATTACATTTCACAGGTAATCTGCACTGGTCAAACATAGACCTGGTCAATATAGAGATGATCAAACATTGAACTTAAAGCAGAACTCTAGGGTCTTAAAAAGTTAACCTTTGCAGTGGGGCTACCTCCACACACTGAAAGGGCTAACTGCTCATTTTGTCTAGGGAGCGCAAATAAAATAAATACTCACTCGATCCTCAGTCCCACCAGCTGCTAGACCACTTCCCACAGCCTCTTCTCCCCTAGGCTTTGGCGGTCTAAGGACCCAGATGTAATCACCTCTAATACACATCTATTAGACATAAAGACGCAGATGGTCATACCACAGCCAGAGTGGAGAGGGAGAGACGTGTGCGGTCACTGCTAAAAGGACCAATGATCAGGTGAGTATTTTTGTCTCTTTTTTCTCCCCTAGAGAAAAAATAAGTACTGCAAAGGTTAACTTTTCAAAATCCTGGAGTTTTTCTTTAAAGAGAAACTCAAGCTATTAAAAAAATTAGCCCATGCAATGGGGCTACCCCACTTCTTACTATGTATTTGTTTATGTATATTCTTATTATTTCATACATACAGTATGTAAATATGTAATACACATTTTGTCGTAACAGAAATTTGAACAGTTGGGCACAGTTTTTGCAGTGATATACCATTTTATATATGGTAATAAGATATTGTAGGATATGTTATGTTATTATTTGGTAATAAGTGCTGCATTAACATCACAGTAGTCTAAATCCACTATAGTGAGACAGTCACTTTTATATGTCAGCAGCTTATTTCTGCAAAGAAGGATCCAAGCACAAAGGGATCTTTAAATTGTATTCTTTTTAGTAATTATCTAGTAATGGCTTACAGAAACATAGTACATCACTATGACTTTTTAGGTATGTCTAACTTACACTTAAAACAAGCAGTAGTTTTTGGCCTTCAAATTGCATATTATCTGCCACTCCAAGGACTTTAACCTGGCCTGCGACCAATGAACACATTCTCTACAGTACCTATAAGTCAGTTGATCTGGAGAAAATGGCAAGGTTTTTTAAAGTGCATCATGTTAACTTTTTTTAATCTGTTGAAGAAAAGACTGTAGGGCATATTTATAAGGTAGTCCATTAAACTAACAAAATTCACTACAGGTGAATCTGTCAATATATATGTGTTTTTAACTAGCAGTGGTTGTTTCACCACCAGTGAAAGTTTGTTGAAAGTGACATAAGCATATAAACATACTGTTTTTATAAATATGCCCCCACATCATCTCTGAAAGACTCCTATGTGCATTCTTATATGTATAATCAAAAAGTTCAACAGGTAGGAAGTTCAACTTCATACAATGATGGGTCCCTGAAGCAAAATGCGTAGCCCATCACTCTCCAGTCTTCAGGTTAAAGCCAATCTCATTACTTAAACCTGTGCTGTGGTAAAGCAGTGCCAGCAACATAGTATATGAATTGCTTTAGTAGACATTCAAATTGCGAAGTGAACATGCCTCCAGGAGAAGGCAATCTTGGCACTCTGGCTGTGCTGAAACTGCAAATCCCACGATGCCTCTGGGAGTCATTCTTGTCGCTGTCAAAGTCTTGCAATACATGATGGAATTTGTAGTTCCACAACAGCTGGAGGTTTGCCAACCCCTGCTCTACTCTTATTAAATGAATCCCACTGTGCAGAAGCACAGTCATTTTCACAGCTATTTTTTTTTTCTCTTTTGCTGCTTTTCTAACGATTTTCAGCTGACCTCCTTCTGAAAATTCTAGTTGTCTGGCTATGCTTTCTACAGCCTGAATATATTTTAGTCACATAACTGGGACAAGCATGTTATATATGAATGTCAAAAAGGTGTTGGAATTTCTATTATCTATTCTTGTTTCAGGTCATTGTTAAAGCCAATACATCAATTTGTCATGACAGGTTGCCCATATCCCCCTCCTATCTAGTATGCCCACACACATACCTCAGATACAGTGTGGAGCAGCTTCCCCTAGATGACTCTCCAATGTATCTATTAACAATGTGGTGATGAACCTACACACTGCAGCACATACTGTATGTCCTGCCTAAACATACAGGTGAAACTCGAATAATTATAATATCGTGCAAAAGTAATTGCAGTAATTGCTGCAAAAGGGGCCCAAACCAAGTACTGAGTACATATGCATGCTTGTACTTTTCAGAGGTCCGATATTGTTCTATGTACAATCCTTGTTTTATTGAATGCATGTAATATTCTACTTTTTTGAGATTGTGGATTTGGGGTTCTTGGGGTTTTCATGAGCTGTAAGCCATAATCATCACAATTATGACAAATCACGGCTTGAACTATCTTGCTTTGAATGTAATGAGTCTATCTCATATATTAGTTTCACCTAGTGAAATAAATGAACGCTATTCTAATTATTCGAGTTTCACCTGTATATATGTTTTTTTGCAGAAATGTGAACACTGGAATTTTTGCAAACTATTTGAAAAAATGTTCTGCTTTGGAGTCACTATGTTTATCATGATAGGCATTTTTAAAGTATGTTCTCCATTTATCTTATCAGGTGATTACGTTGTCATGACGGTATACTTTGATTTAAGTAGAAGAATGGGATACTTCACTATTCAAACATACATCCCTTGCATATTAACAGTTGTGCTATCCTGGGTATCATTCTGGATAAAAAAAGATGCCACGCCAGCAAGAACAGCGTTAGGTAAGATAATTTTACTTATTCTATAAAAGCATGTCTCAAATGCTGAACAGTACCCATGAAGCGATTTTTCACCTTTTTGGTGTATGTCAGTGGACTATGTCAGTCTTCCCTTTGAAGTAATACTGTTTTTATATGGATTCCCCGCTTTTGAGCAGATCTGAGGGTATTTATCAATGCTGGTAATTCTCCTTGAACTTCACAATATAATATGCATTTTATAAAAATAACTCATATTTCTAAATTTTTTTGCACACATTAAAATGCAAATTTTAGGCCTGAAAATTACTTATTTATTACAGGTATTTAGGGATGCACCGATACCAAGTACCGTACTCGGTACAAGTACAGATACTTTTCCAGTTCCAAGACTAGACTAGAGGAAAACTCAAAAGTTAGGAGGCAGCTGTCATTTTTAAGGAGCAAACGGAGCTCCTGGGATTTGTGCATCTCTGTTTTAATGTATCATTTTGTTTTTATAAATATAAATAAAAGGATGCACCAATACCATTTTTTCAAGTACAAGTACTGATACTTGTCCAAGTACTTACAAGTACAAGTACTAATACATATTTGTTTATTGTCATGTGACAGTTTTTCTAAAACAGTACAGACTAATGATTTCAGGACAGTGGTGGAGCGCTAGACCTAGGTCCCAGCTGCAACCTCTGCAACCCTGGTAGTTTTCATGAAAATGCCAAGTATCGGCACTGGTATCTGAAAAGTATCGGTGCATCCCTACAGGTATTTATATAGTGTTGACAATTTACACCTTGGTTTACATAGTTGCACATCCACATCAGTCCCTGCCCTCAAGGATCTTACAATCTAAGGTCCCTATCTCACATACAGGGCAAATTTAGAAAGGAGCTAATTAACCTACCCTGGGGTAACCCACCCAAGCACAGGAAGAACATGCAAACTCCTTGCAGATAGTGTCCCTGACTGGGATTTAAACCAGGGACCCTTAGCTATTGCAAATTGAAATAGCCAATAGTAATGTAGCAATGCATTTCAATGGGAACATTTTTTTTTTCTATTCTGACATCGCTACGTGTCAGAATACAGAAAAAAAAAGACACAGCAGTGTATCTCTCCTTGGCGGCCGGGAGCAGGAGACTCCCGGGGCGCCAGGGAGAGTTTGCTGTTTGGAGATCAGTTACCTGCTAACCAGGGACGCTGATCTCTCTGCAAGTGGCCGGAGCCAGCCGTAAGATCATGGCTGGCTCCAGCCAGCTGTCAGAATCATGCTGTCGGCCAGCTTTGGGTTTCAGCACGGCTCAGCCGAGCCTATGCATATACGTTCGGCTCGACTGAGCCGCTCGGCCACGTTCGGGAGCTGTACAGGTTATAGTGAATAGCCCGTACAGCACCCCTTCGGTTCTACTAAACTGAAGGGGTCCTGGGGCCGAAGCTTGCCGAAGGATCGGCCAAAGCTATGGCTAGATCCTTCGGCAGCTTCGTGAATAGACCCCTATGTTGTCTTGAGGCTTCTCTGTCCTTTTTCCCATAGCAGTAGTGTGTGAATTACATAACATCCAGGGACTGTACATTGATGAAGGTTTGCAATTCTGCACTAGCCCAGATACACAGCCACATCTCAAACTGCACACACCTCAATATGCCAGATGTGTCAGAATGAGGGTGATCACACATCAAAGGAAGTAACTACTCTCCCAAAGCTTTACCATTGGCAGTGTGGAAGTCTTATTTAAACAGAACAAGGAGCAATAAATTGAGAATTTATTATTAACATTTATGGTTATTAAAATTATATTTTTATTAATAAATGTATATTTCTTATTAAAATGTATTACTAACATTCGCATTTACCTTGAGAGAACTTTCACTTTTATAAACCTATATATAAAAACATTACAACTTTTATGTTAACCTTCCCTCCAACCCTTAATTCAGAACATGTCCTTAAAAATACTTAACCTCTGCCCCCCAAGCCTTCCCTGTATCCTAACTTTTTAAAGGGAGCCCTTTAACCCCTTTTCTCAACACTTTACCCCTATTCTGCTGCGTACTTCACTCTAGCACACGGATCTCAAACTGAAATCACAAAATACTATAATCCCGGGAAAACTGCTTTGTACCATTGCTAACTTCCCTCTGGTAATGTTAGTTGCCTGGCTGTTATTTTGCTACAGCGGTTGAAAACTTTCTGAGTCATTAAATCTGAACAAGTGTGAAGTAAGTGGCATCAGAGCAAAGAATGCCATCAATTGCAAATGTTTGGAAACTCTGTGAGTCAGTTATTAGGAACACACTATTTAGCATGAATCACAGCCTCTAAATGGTTCTAGTGATCAGCTAATAGTGTATTCTTGGTGCTGGCTTTTTAAATGTTTCTGTTGCGTGATTTCTTGCACAATATGTTAATAATATAGAATAAACATTATTGTTATGATAAATAATGTTTTAGAGGCTCTGTTTATAAAGCAGAAAATGAGACTTTCTCAAACATTTTCTGGTGGAGCACATCTAGATGCATGTGTTTTAAATAGGAGTGATTGATTCTCCACCAGCAAATGTTTGTGTAAGCCCCATTCTCTGCTTTGATAATAGGGCTCTTAAAGTAAAAGTCCAAGTGTATTTTTTTATTTTTTTTAGTCCTCTTCCTCCTCCTACATTTAATACAAAAGTGCCTGTGTTTTTCTTATCCTCTCCACACTCCAGTGCTGTTCTCAGTTTACTTCTCGGCACAGTGCCACCGGTCCACTTTGGCCATGATGATGCTAACATCACTCTGCCTATTTCCTGTGAGTCCAGCCTGTTGTTGACTCACTCCCCTAGGGGGTGTGTCATTACACAGGCTGGGCTTACAGTACTCCAGGACTAAGCCGCACTCACACACCTTTATGTAAGCGTCACTTAGTCTAGGACGAATGTCTGCTTATTACCACTGCTGAGAAAGATGAGGAAGTTTCTGTGACATTTCTAGGCCACCTAGAAGACTGCAGAAAAAAGGTATGTATAGGGTTTTTTAAACAAAAAGGATCATGTGGGCACTGGGCTTTATGGGGAAGGGAATACCATAGTTACAAAGTTATCACACTTTTAAATTGATCCCCTTGTGCTGTTACATTTTTAACTTAACGTATGAGAATAATTTATTGCCAGGATTGAACTGTATTTTTTGTGGTAGAGATATACAACATATTTTTTTAGAAAGAGTAGGGCATAGTTAAACTCCTGTCACTTTTTTTTATGTATTTTGTACTGTCTGTGTACTATTGGGAATATTTTCCTTAATTTCCTGCATTAGAGTTGCCGAAGAATGTTAGACGAAATCTCCATTGGAAGTGATGGGCAATCCTCACTTAGACAATTGTCTTTGGAACAGGTGTTCCCATTGAAAGATTTTCTCTCATCTCCTGTTCTGGTGACTAATATAATATTTTGGATTTCCATTACTTTCTGTCACGTTACCAATGATTACCAGGATAAATGGAAAGGGTTATTCTACCCAGCTGGGACACCCAACAATATAACCTAAAAAGAGGTTCTCATCCTTCCCTACTGCATCATTACTTGATGGTGGGCGGCACAGTGGTGTAGTGGTTAGCACTTCTGCCTTGCAGCACTGAGTGTCCCTGGTACAAATCCTGGTCAAGATACTATCTGCATGGAGTTTGCATGTTCTCCCTCGGCTTGCGTGGGTTTCCTTTGAGTACTTCAGTTTCCTCCCACACTCCAAAGACATGCTGGAAGGTTAATTGTCTACTGTCTAAATCAGCCCTGTATGCATGTGAGATAGGTACCTTAAATTTTAAGCTCCTTGAGGGCAGGGACTGATGTGAATGTTCAGTATGTAAAGTGCTGTGTAAATTGTCGGCGCTCTATATAAATACCTATAATAGTGAAAACTGCAAGCCAAAAGCATATAGACCTAATTTTGTAGCGTTTCCCTACTGTTTCCTTATTAGAGATCCTCACTCAGCTGTGTGGGGGGACATTTGGGACATCTATATTTGGTTTTCGTTTTCAGAATTTTGATCTATTTGGATGAAGTTAGGTTGTTTTTAAATGTGAAAAAAAGTGTGGGGTCCCCCTCCACTCATACTCACCAAAATGCTCTGATACTTACCCCCGATACCGAAACTTACGGTCAGAGGGAGATTTCCTCTGACCGGCAGTGCCGCGAGGGAACATGGAGCCAGCTTCCCGGCCAATCTTCATCGAGCTGGCCAAACAGCATGGAGCCGCCTTCACGGGAAATCAAGAATAACACACTGCCTGACTTCCTGATTGGCCATGAAGCTGGCTCCAGAATAGCGGAAGTACCAGTATCGGTACTCGGTATCAGCAACTCCCGAAATATAAATAGCGGTACTCATACTTGATACCAAAATAAATAGTATCAGTGCATCCCTAGTTTTTACGCTTCCCTTTTATCCCACCCTTCTGTATCCCCCAAAAAAAGTTTTGGCTATACATACAGTTTTAATTGCTGTCAAAGCCCATCTAATTCTAAGCACTATTTGTAATTCAGATGTATTGCAGAAAGGTCAGTAGGTTATGGTAACAATTTTGTAAAATGTTAAGACCTTCCCATATTACTGAAAATATTTTTGTAAAATTAAAATATAGTAAAGTAAGCTGTAGCTATTGAATAGCTATGGCTATTTAGATAAAAACAAATCCTTATATGATTCCACATTTATGTTTGTTTTATTCAATTTTATATTGGACTATAAAAGTAAAAAATATAAAGCTTTTTACAAGGTCAACTTTCGTTGATAGGAAAAACAGTTTTGCAGCTCTTGTTTTAAATTGGTTTGCTATTGGATTTGAATGGAATTTTGGAATAAAAATTATCTATTAAACCCAAGAAAATAGAAGGGATACTGGAATGGTTTCTGTGAAGTAGTGTATTAGATCAGCATAACAAAATCTTTTGCTATGAGAACCTTTTACTAAGTCAATTATTTTAGCAGGTTTAATGACATTTATTTTTGGAATATTATAATTTTTTCAGAAGTTGCAACTCCTCAAAATTCCAGTGATGCTGGAAATATTTGTATAATTTGTATGGATTTATTTATATATAACTGTAAGTGATTATTAACAAATATGTTTATACTGTTCATGACTCAAGTAGTTTGCACCTTTTTATAACTAGAGTGACTGTGGTCAGAATGCATTAGCTATATTTTAGCATTTTCATTTTTTGAACGATCAAGTATAAAAGGCTCAGTCAGTATAGCAGTCTATTTGCCTATTTGCTCTTTGACAAAAATGTTTTCATAACACAGCAGGGCAATTCTGCTTTGGCAGGTAATAAGGTGACACTGATCACCAACTGGAAGGCAGTTAATTTAGGTACTCCCCTTCACTAACAGTCCAGGCACAGTCCAGCATACCCAATGCTGACAATGATCAAGGGCAGCAGAGCCACCCATATACTGTATCATGTCGTGACCTGTCAACAAGCTGCAGATGCATTTTAACCTGTATTTTGGTGCATGGGCAGCCCATTTGGAATTAACAGAATGCCTCAATGCAGAACATATTACCACTCATGCAGTAACACACCACAAAGCAGCCACCAGATCTGAGTGGCCAATCTGTCCTTTTTAACCTCTCTACCTCCATACTCAATATGACTTGTGTGGCTATGACATCTGATTTTGTTAGTATGATACTAGTACAGTTAATTTTGAACAAAAGGGTAGAGCTTCACAAGACAGCTGACCTATGGGGCAGGAAGCATACAACTCACTCTGTGTACAGTTAATGGATACACTTTGAATACTATTTGCTAGAATACTGCATACCTGTGCACATTAGATTCAATTTAATAGCTTTGTTCTAAGAATTATGTTATTCACCACAGTGAAGAATGCAGCCCTATGTTATCAATTGTGAATCACCAAAGTTCTTGCAAATGGCAATTATGATATGCTTCCACATTACTATTTTATTTTGAAAAAGCTCCTACAGCTTTTATTATTCTAATGATTCATTTTAATTTATGATCACAAAGTTCATTGAAAAATTAAGAAACATTTTGCCTTATAAATCTGATGTAAAGTAGTATAAACTGAAAGCATGTATTTTCACTTCCAGGTATCACTACAGTACTGACAATGACAACCCTGAGCACCATAGCAAGAAAGTCTTTACCACGAGTTTCCTATGTCACTGCCATGGACCTATTTGTGACTGTTTGTTTCTTGTTCGTATTTGCGGCATTGATGGAGTATGCAGCACTTAATTACTATTCAAGTTGCAAAAAGCCGAGATGTAAAAAGAAGAAAAAATCGGTAAGACATTATCGCTTTGCTGCCTTATAATATTTTCTTTGGATTTGATTTCGAGTTTAAAGACCTCTGTCACTAATATGTACAGGGAACCTATCAAGTCAAATGCTAATAAAGGCTGTATGAATAGATTTTTTTTTAAAACCTCAGGGGAATGTGAACTGAAATGTCAATATTTCAACTATTCTTTATATAAATATGACTTTACAGCCACTTACATGTGTCGAATCCTCTACATCTTTGATTGTGTTTAGATGTGTATCACCAGCAGTACTTTCAGAGAATATGAGGCCCCTTTCTAGTCTGGTGTGGTGTGTCAATGCGCATATTCTAAAGTACCTGTTAGTATGCATTGCATTAAGACAGCACGCATATAAAAATATGAATGTTACATCTTATAAAAATGTTTGAACATTAAAATATAATATTCATTCAAAATATGTGCTTATTAGGGATGAGCTTTTTGTTGAGTTCAGCAAACTGGCCATATTTTCACAGTTCGCCCTCCTGCCAGAATGTAGCCAGAAGTCTGTCAATTATTGGTATAATATCTAGCATCTCTAAATCACAAATCCCCACAACCTCTGACATTGTAAACGATCCAGTGGCGATCTTGGGTGAAATGCTTGACCAAATATGGACATGATAATTTGTGACCTGAGGAGCAGTGCAGCTGCATCATCATGTTATCAGGTCCTTGTGAGGGAAAGGTCAACATTTGTCAAGCATAGCTCATCATGATTGGCATGTATCTACATTGCTGGATGAGGTGATTGATGCAGGATATTTCATGTTTTTCCTTTCTCATACATATGCAAACATTTCTAAAATTCTGTTTTCACTTTGTCAGTATGGGGTACTGAGTGTAGATTACCAAGAGGAAAAAAAATAATTTAAACAACTGTAGTATCAGGCTGCAAAGTAAAAAAAAATGAAAAAAGTGAAGTGGGTCTGAATACTTGATGAATAACGTACTCGTTCGAGCTGGGGGGCAGATATCTGGGGGCTCCCTTATTCCAATGGGGGCTTCCAGAATCTGATAAGTCCACAGTGTAGATCCCTAAATTCATTTTGGGGACAGGATGTTGGGATGAGGCCCTTGTCCTCGTCAACATGGTGACAAGGGCCCTTGCAAAGAGGGCTTAGCTAACCCCTCTTACAAGGTAGCATCCCAATGTTGAAGGCATGTGGCCTGGTATGGTTCAAGAGAGAGGCATGAATGGTTGCTTATCCTCTTTCCTGGTCACCCAGATTGCATGCCTGGATTAGGGCATTTTATGAATATTTGGAGGGACCTTTTTGTTGTTTTTTTCCCTTAAAAGGGACAATACACATAGTGTATTGTCCCTTTTAAGAAAAGAAAGGCCTGGAAAGGGGGGGCTAAATGGCCCTCAACATTGGGAGGGGGGCTGCCAATCCTCCGCACTTGCAAGGCACCTTATCCCTGTGTGACAAGGGCCCCATTCCAGCATCATGTCTCCCAAAAGGAATGTGGGGGTCTTCAGGGGGAACTTATTGTAAGCTCCCTTTAGAATAATGGGGTCCCCAGATATCCACCCCACACATGAATAAGTAAGAGGTACATAGTAATTATTAGTAGTGAAGTATTTTTTTAATATTTTTTTAAAGTCTCATAATGTAAGTCCAACGTCAATCGCACCATCCAGCAATGTACTGTAGATCCATACCAATCATAGTGAACGCCACATGATGATTTTGACCCATCACCACAACATGCCACACCTGACAATCTTCTCCCGCTGCTGCTCCTGTCACAAATGACAGGTGCTGCCAGAATGTATACAGCAGCAGCATGAAAACTGGCTAATGCTGTTGATTAAATATGGTCATGATCGTATTCGGTTAATGATGTCACGTAGGATACCTGTTGCTATTTACATTCCAGCAGTGGTGGGGAGATGTCATCTGCAATTGAAGAAGCAAGGGTGTAGCATCTTCATCGCAGCACGTCTTTGTGGTGGCCAGTCTACATTATCAGACTTTGTACATTATAACTGATGTGGATCTACATCACTGGATGAAGTAATTTGACATTGGGTTTACATCAGGGAACATTGTTTATTTTTCTTTTCTATATCAGAAGATGTGTGTGATTTTACTATTTCCTTTTTTGCAAATACTGTAAGTATCAAGGGGTTCTTTGTAAAAGGGAACTTATTCAAATGGGGGGTCTATATATCTGTGGACCCCCTTAACCTAAAGGGTGCATCCTATTCTAATAAGTCCCCCCTGTAGGACCATACGTCCCTTTTAGGGGACAGGATGTGGGGATGAGGACCTTGTCTGACCCCCTCCCTTTCCTGGCCATGCAGGCTGCACCCCTGGATAAGGACATGATTTAGGTTGTAATGGGAGGCCAAAAGCAGGTTAATTGCACCTATCGATAAATAAATAATGAATGATCTCAGAAACATCTCAAACTATCATCAAATCAAGCTCATTGACACAACCCAAAGCACGTTGTCATGGACCCTTAGCATTTTCTGGGATAATTAGCCACCTATACAAATGGAAAGGTATGCACTAAAACTACATACTTGTTTCTCAAAACAAGAAATGTTCACAGTCTTGGATTTCAAGGAGTCTATGTTTAGAGTATGAACACTCACAGCAAATATCCTTATGCCAATTCTTTCAAAGGAAAAGTCTTACAACTGGTTGAAAATGTTTGTCTTGTAGGCACTGCTATTACACATCAGTGCAGTTCACAGCTATATGTGTTATGTAAAATATGTGAAGATATACATCACATAAAAAAAGTTTTTTCAGAATAGACAATTGTCACTAAATGTCTGGCTGCCATATTACAGCCAGACTTAAATTAGAAGCAACCTGGCAGGATAAAAATAAAGGCACTACCATTGCCAGATGCTTAATATAAAAATGTGCAAGCTTCATGGCTGCCATTCATGTCCTTGTTTCAGTACTCCATGTGAAACAAGGATGTTGCCAATAAAATAAGGTCTCCTAACCTCCCATATTTTTTCTGGGTCATTGACTAACTAAATAGCAAAACAAGTATAAAAATGACCTTCCCTAAGCTCTCATGTTTAAAAACAAGTCAGCGATGGCAGTTCTCATATTTCTATTCTTGAAAGTGAAATATATGTAAGGCTATATTTTAAAAAAAAGCAACCATATAGATCTAAAGGTTTATTAATATTATGTTCTTGTCTGAACCTTATGCCAATTTGCCTTGCACTCTACAAGGGATCATAATTAATTGTTATGCTACAGAAAGTCCCAACAATTTAAACAAAATATCTGAGTAACTGGTAAAATATTTATAAAAGTGCAGCACTTATTCCTTAAGTAGACAGTTATGTATCTCCTCAATTGTTTTAAGCCTGAGGTTCTAATAAATAAATCACGTTTACTTCATCTTTATGAATTATTTACCAGGAATTTGGAGATGCTTTCTTTAGATGTATTGTACATATGCAATTACCACTTCTTCTGTTATGCAATAAAACCTATTAAGGTGATTTGGTCAATATACTTACTGTAGTTTGTGCTACTCCTTAAGATTTTCTAGCTTTGTTCACTCAACGCATGTTAAATAAAGGTAGTACCTCTGTGTCTCTTGTGCTATTCCTCTGTGCTAGCTATACTTGCCTAATGAATGATTTAAAGTATTTTTAAGCATTAAAATGTATAGTATTCGTTTATTTCTTTGTGCTTTATGTTTATTTTTATTCACTCGATTTTCTTTTAGAAGTTAGTGATGTAGCTACTAAAAAGGTTTAGTGAGCTGCAGGCTTTATAATTCTGGGCAAATAGAATACTTGCAATGAATTCTAATGGGAAGGTACAGGTAAATGAAAGATATGCAGAAGTGCTGAATGAACAGTGCACTTCAGTGTTTTGCATTTCTTATATGAAAGTGAAGCATTTAAGGAAACTGGGCTGGGGGGGGTGGGGGGAATTTGCTCCGCAGGACAGAACTAGGAATATGTGTTGAGCTAGAGGACCTTACTGGAGATATTAATCCATTCAGACCTCAATCAGAACAGGACCCACAGTGACAACTCCTGGCCATTTTATAGCTTTCTGCTTAATGTTCAGATCTGTGATCACAGAGCCTACCAAAGGCATGGCTTCCATTATCTATTTCCATTGTGGCTCTGACATAATATAAAACTGAATGCCAAGAGCTGCAAAGAAAATCAATCATTATTTATTAAAGAAAGCTGACAGATTAATTGTGATAATGGCATGGCATTTCATTTAGGTGAGTCTGTATCACTTTCAAAGAGCAGAAGTCATCTTGGTCAGGACCAAAGTAGTTCAATGCTTGCAATTCATCCCTTGGAATCTCTCTTTTTAGTATATGTATGTGAAAATGTATGTTAAATTGAACCATGTTCACTAAAACAACACCCTCCTTTTGCTATGGCCATCGACCACTGCAGCACACTTTGTTTACTTACTATAAAAGGGCTAGTTGATTGTATTTCCCACCCAGGCCAAATGTTCCCAGTCCTCCCCTGGAATAAGGGCTATAGCAATAGTTGGCTAGGGTGTATATTACAGCTGAAAGTCTCGAGGCATTTTCAATATCCACAAGTCAGATTCTTCTGGAAAATGCCAGCTATGTGTACTAGATACCCCATTTCAATGTCCATCTATTTAAAATCTTAAACTGTAGTTCCACTTTTGCAGGCAAATGTAAAAAAAAAAAAATACTATATGTTTGTTATTTGTTCATATTCACAAAGCATTCCTAAAAATATATTTTTTAAATATGTTAAGATGTTACTTTGGTGAAGACCTTTTTGCAGATTCCAAACTACTCTGAGCAGCTTGAAATTAAAAGTAGAGGGTCGAACTGGAGGACACACTGAGCTTCATCTCATTAACAGACAATATGTAGAAGTCTTTAGTTCAATCTGAGTTTATTCAAGTTTAAGAGTTTAGTACAAAAAGGCAAAGTAACAAGTTCACCTTAATAAAAATAAACATAAACATGGGGTTTTGACAAAATACAGAAAGTACATGTGTAAGGCAATAGACTATAGGCCAATAGGCCAGTGAACATTAGCAGCAGAATAGTCAACAGTATCTGAGCGGTTATGGTTCGGCAAGACCAGTGATGGCACTTGTAGTACAACGTATAAAAGACATACCGTATGTTGGTTTAGGCCCAGGGTCGTCTGTGGTATTTCTGCCCAGTACATCCCGACACGGGGCATGTGCACAGGGCAAGGGGATACCACGCTAGCGGGTACAGCATGTGGTGTAGGTAGTAACGCTCATCAGTTGGGTATTCAGTATCCTGTACCTAAGATGGGGGGTAGGGGGAAGGAGATGCCAGTGAGAGGGGTCCATCGAGGGATAAGAAAGAAAGAAAGAAAGAAGGGGGAGTGAGGGGGGGAAGACCAGCTGGGCATAGAGGAGGGAAGGGATGAGGAAGGGGACATTAGGACAATAGCCCCCCACCCCCTGCCGAGCCATCTAGTGACTGTGGTGGGTAGGAACTTTTTAAGGCGTAAGTGTTGTTTTGAACCCCACTGAGTTCCTATACATAATCCAGGGGGACCAGGTGTGGACATATTTGTCTCCGTCTTCCCGCTCCCCCGCCAAGAGTGAGCGGAGGCTCTGGGCTGGCGTCAGAGGCAGTGGAGGATCCGTCCCGGCCTTCTTCGCCGGCGCGACTTTCGGCGGCATCTCGCGGCCTAGCGCGGTGGGTGCGTCTGGCGGGCTGTCGCGTGGGTGCCGCGTGAAGTAGGAGGCAATGTCCCGGGAGGAGGAAGCAGAAGCAGCAGCCCCAGAGTCCCGATCGTCGGGCATAGGGGGAAAAAGGGTGGTAGAAGGCTGAATATGTACCATAGGAGAGTCCCGGTATAGCAGAGCTCCTGGCTGCACGTCCTCACACCACCATGGCTGGCCACGCCCCCCCTATGTAGAAGTCTTTAACCCTTTGTTAGTACAGACTGTGTTTAAACCTAGTCTAGAACAGACAATAAAATCTTCCTGCACAGTACAGACAGGGTTAATTAGAGAAAATATAGCTTCCCACAGCCCCGTCCTTAACATTACATGGGAGGGGAGCTAGGTAGAATTTTTAAGCAGGTAAAAAGCACTTAAAAATGTAAGCAGCAATTTCTATTATTTTGTTTTTACATTTATGCATTGTGAACGGGATCATATTGTATATCATCAAATATAAAGAACATGTTATCCCAATATGACTGCACAAATGGAACCACGCTTTGAGTAGGGACCTTCAGCAGCAAACAGCAGGGATTTTAGGTTTATGATAATAGTGGTGAAGGAAAACAAGTACTAGCCTTACCTTTGAGTAAAATATACATCCTGACACTTTTTTTTCCCATTCACGTACATTTGAAACTTGAAAAATACAGTATTGTGCAAAAGTGTTAGGCAGGTGTAAAAAAATGCTGTAAAGTGAGAATGCTTTCAGAAATAAACGTGTTAATAGTTTATTTTTATCAATTAACAAAATGGAAAGTAAATGAACAGAAGAGAAATCCAAATCAATATTTGGTGTAACCACCCTTTGCCTTCAAAACAACATCAATTCTTCTAGGTACACTTGCACAAAGCTTTTGAAGGAACCCAGCAGGTGGGCTGTTCCAAACATCTTGGAGAACTAAGCACAGATCTTCTGTGGATGTAGGCTGCCTCAAATCCTTCTTTCTCTTCATTTAATCCCAGGCAGACTCGATTATGTTTAGATCAGGGTACTGTGAGGGCCAAACCATCACTTCTAGGACTCCTTGTTCTTTTTTACACTGAAGATAGTTCTTAATGACATCGGCTGTAAGTTTGGGGTTGTTGTCCTGCTGCAGAATGCATTGAGGACACCTTTGATCCTGACCAAATCTCCCACTCCATTGGCAAAAAAGAAGTCCCAGACTTGCAAGGAACCTCCACCATGCTTCACTGTTGCTGCAGACACTCATTATTGTACCGCTCTCCAGCCTTTCGGCAAACAAACTGATTCCTGCTACAGCCAAATATTTAACATTTTGACTCATCAGTCCAGAGCACCTGCTGACATTTTTCGGCACCCCTGTCCCTATGTTTTGATGCATATCTGAGTCACCTTGTTTCTACTGTGGAGGTATGGCATTTTGGCCTTATGACCATAGAAAAACGTCAGCTGGTGCTCTAGACTGATGAAGGCAAAGGATAATGACACCAAATATTGATTTGATTTGGATTTCTCTTCTATTCATTTATTTTTCATTTTGTTATTGATAAAAAATAAACTAATAACACTTTTATTTCTAAAAGCATTCTTATGTAACAGCATTTTTTCACACCTGCCTTAAAATGTAACCTAATGAATAGAATGGTACTGAAGAAGATAGAGTTAAGGTGGTGGAGCACTAAATGAAAATATGGCCAGTGGTGTGACATTTTCACGGTTTATAATACAAAAACACTTCAGGTGACACTAGAAAGCTTGCAATAGTAATACCAGTAGTCTGATAGTTTGGACAATTGAATCTTACTTCTAAAACAAAGATAAGGAGAGATAAACTGGAAACTCTTGTTAACACTTCAAAGTCTCTAGATAACCTTGAGTGCATATCAGATGAAAAAGGTCCCATATTGTATTTTTTCCCCACATTTTTATAGCACCAACATATTATGCAGCTCTCTACAGAATACATTGGCCATTCACATTAGTCACTGCCTTTGAAAGATATTACAATCAACTGTCCCTACTACACCATAGTGACACATACACACACTAGATCTTATTTGGTCACACCCTAGTTAGCCTTTCAATACAGTGTTTAGTAGTGGAAAACTTATGAAAACAATTCTCTAGCAGGATTCTAATACAGAGCCAATAGCTTCAATGTAACAGGGCTTTGGGTTCAATAAGGATTGGTAAAGCAGGATTTGCCTGCAATATTCGGCAACATTTACTTTATTTCTAAAACTGACTGGTGAATACAAATATGTAGGAATCAATCCAGAAAATTGAATCGGAAATTGAGGTGTCACAAATCTGTGTCCAATGTGGATTTAGCAAAAAGAGGATCTTATAATATTTGCCACATTATAAAAATTATGCATTTTACCAAAACTGTCATTGTAAAAATAAATGTGCATATTGGATGATCTTTTTAGAATGGGTGCACATGTCATGTAATGTCGGGATCTGTCCTGGCTGTGGCGGTCTCAATATATCGCAAGCTGTAGCTCGCAATATACCGAGCTTTGGGTCACGGGAGGATGCTAGTATATATATGTCCGCCCGTGACCCTTAAGAGAACTATGGGGAAAAACAACTACCCCATAGTTCTCTTTTAAATTTAAAATATAGCCCTTTATAAAGGGCCAGAATCTCATCTTTCTCGTGTTTATCCAGCCTTAAAGTTATAAATGTACAAATGAATTTCATTGTAATTAATAAAGATTATGAGCACGATTTCAGTGGGCAATAAGAGTGCCAAATGAAATCCAATACTGTAGAAAAAGGAAATGAATAACAATAGTACAAATACAGTATATGTAGCTAATTCTCAACCAATCTAGACAGGTAGGCTTATTTTAATAAATTAATATCAGTAAATAACTGCAGCAGCTCGTAACAACTATGCAGTGATCAGCTTTCATTGTTGTAAATACTTACTAATATAAAGTAAAATATAGGTGGTTGTTATAGACCATCAACTGTTCATTGTGACTCTTTGTTCTTCCTTAAAAATAATCCTTTTTAATAAAAACTAAACCACTGTAAACTACCAATTGTTTGTTAATTTAAATAAACTCATATCTTTTATATGTTTAGCTGCAAAAGCCATTATTGTTTTAGTGTACTGTACAAACATACTATGGATAGGTCAGTGACAAGTATAGTGCTAGGTGTAATTCCATCAATCTAGTATGTGGCTAATGGTGACATATAACTACTTAATATTGGTCTTTTCCTTTTATTTCCTCAGAATTATTCATTCCTGGATATGAGACCTCCTCCGACTGTCATCACTTTGAACAATACCATGTACTGGCAGGAATTTGAGGAGGCGTGCGTTTATGAGTGTCTAGATGGTAAAGACTGTCAAAGCTTCTTTTGTTGCTATGATGAATGTAAATCTGGCTCATGGAGAAGAGGTCGGGTACATATAGACCTTCTAGAATTGGACTCGTACTCCAGAGTGTTTTTTCCAACATCATTCTTGTTATTTAACCTTGTATACTGGGTTGGATATCTTTACCTATAAAGACTCTGCATTGTGAAGACTGCCTTTATCTGAATCAGTCTGACAAACAAAGCTGAAGGATACAAAAGACTTTTTTTTCTCCTCACAGGAATAATGTTTGTGGTCGACTGAGCAAGAAAAAAGGACTCTATTTAAAGAGTTTAATTGTGAAATGTTACTACTGATGCCTAACTAATTTTTACCACAAGACAATGCTTATAAATTCTTATATAGTAAAAATCTATATTTGGCATAGAAAAATGACACTGAAAAAATATCACTGAGTTATATTGTACTTATAAAAAATTAAAGAAAGGTACCGTTGCACCCTTTTATTAAAAAAAATTAAAAATGTATATATAAAATGAAGTACATTTTTTATTAAAAAATAACCTATCTGATCGTTTCAAAATAAAAGCCATGTTTATCTTTTTATAAGTGGTATAGACGTTACATAAAAAGCTGTAACTTTTTGAAAATATGACACAAACACTTAAGCTGGGAAATGTGAAGATACATTCACTTTGGAAAAAGTGAAACAAACTCCTATGTTTACAAAGAAGACTCATTTTGAAAGAACACTATTTATAGACATATTATGTGTATCCTTGTAAGAATACTCCTAAACAAGGAAAAAAGAAGAAAAACATCCTTTTTATATTGTGAAGTTCTTTTTTTCTGCAATTACTGTTTGATTACTATACCCCTATGATTAACCATGTTTTATGTCACAATGGCTATTTACCATGGTGCCTATCAGCAACATTTTAAACACATCTATGAAAAAAATTAAAACATCTCTAAATATATTTTCTTCATTTTTTAATGTTTAAAACAATTTTGTTTTTCTTTTTAGCTGATGCAAATGATATTTTTGGATACCCGTTAAAGTTTATTCTAGGGTCTGTTTTTCCTAGCTAGCCCATATTGCTTCTAATGAACTAGCTAGGCAAACAAAATAAATAAAATAAGAACTATGTTTATTAAAAGATAAGACAACTGCTGTCTGGATCATTTTTTTAAAATACGGCTAGGGTATTCAAAGATAATTATATTAGGCAATCAAGTACATTTTAGCTGTTAGAAGCAGGGGCGTAACTAGAAATCACAGGGCCCCATATCAAAATTTTGTATGGGGCCCTGTGATTGCTAGTTATGTCACTTGCAGAGCCCCAGTTCTGTGACAGCCAGCACCCCCACATGCCATAGCGACCCAGGTGGCCCTGGCTGGGCCCCCCTGTGCCCGGGCCCCATAGCGGCCGTCTGGGTCGCTATGTCGATTGTTACGCCACTGGTTAGAAGATGTATTATTTACAGATCCTGACATAAACACGGATGCTTAAACTATTCCGGATTAAATGTTTATGTCACTGCAAGTAAGAGGGGGAGCGGAACCAAAAACCTCAACTACTGTCTTGCCTATGCTGAAAATATTCAATACCTCCCCCCACCCTCCATGTATCACTCAGCCAGGGGTTATGCAACAGTATAATATAACCCTTAGACATAAAAATCCTTGCCTAATAAAAAAACAATAGTCTGAGAAATGACTCTCATCTAATGTCTACATGTATTTTAAGTCAATAATTACCAAATACACAATAATATGGCCCCACAATTCCTCCCAGAATCTGAAGTCTACTGATAAATGAGTACTCTCAACCACCTCCTGACTGGCCATTGTAGTAAAATGCCTAGTCGGTGGAGCACTTATTCTCAGGGGAGCGCTTATTCAAAACGTCTTAGTGTATGCCTATAGCTTCACTGTCATTAGACAGCAGACACCAAAGGCAAAAGGCACATAACAAATCAGAGCAGCTCTGTGCCTTGCCATCACTGTAATAGCCAATCACAGCAATCAAAAACGTGAATAGTATTACTGTTCCCGTTTGAGAGTCCTCCAATGATGGGGTGAGGTCATTTAAAATGCCACTGACCACCAATGATTATGTGATTGTTTTGGGGGTTTTAAAGTGCCACTGACTACCAATATTTGTGGGATTTTTGTTTGGGGGGTTTAAAGTGTTTTGGGTCTTGAGGAGGTTAAGTCAACATACATGTAAGATATTTCAAAGGATTTCTAGATTGTACTTACATTGGCCAATCTGCTGGTTATTTTTGATGTGTCACACTGTTCTTATTTTTCTTTTTCTTATTTTTCACATAATTAAGCTGATTTCCCTTCAAGAGATAGGTACAGAAACAGTCTGGTCACCCCTCTTTCAGAAGTACAAGATTGTGACAAAGGCACATTAGGCTCGTATACATCTCTTTCATCATTCACTGGTTAAACATAAAACAAACACTAAAAATACCCACACCTTCACCATAGTTGAAGTTCTGGGGTTGCAAACGTTCACAATGTGCCTTTAGCATGGGGTTCTGTTTTGAAAGGTAAACCAAACTTCTTTTAGCCCACTCCTCTTGAGTTGCCAAACTGATGTTGAAGGATATTTAAAACAGTATTAACTGCCAGAACCAGCTGCAAACACTAAGGCTGGGTTCACACCTAGGCGGATTGAATATGCACGTTTTTCGCACTTTTTTTTTTTACCGCGACCCGCTGCTCTGTATGGGCTATGACATGGCAGACAACTTATCTGTAAGCTTATTATGTCTTCTGCTTTACTCTCTGCTGTTCTTCTGCAAATCAGCTAAATATACTCAAAGGGGAAAAGGCATAGAAAAATGACAGTTGTTCTGGATTGTTGAAGGTAAAACTGCAAGTGATATTCTACCTCTGTATCTCAGAATTACAATGATCGCCAGAGTGTTTGTGTTTTTGCTAAACTGCTTATACAAAGCTGGCCATACACGACTCAAATGTTTACCTGATTACTGCTGAAACAGCCAGAATTTGAGCTGTGGGTGGTGTAATTGGCACCTCCCAGCTCAACAAACGTCTTTTTTTGAAGGAACCAGGTGACAAATTGTTGGACAAACAGTGACTGCATCCAATCAGATACAGTCTTTGTATAAGTATTTAGCAGCCATGGGTCTTTCCGGCTGCTAAAAATGTTAGCCCCCTAGGAAGATTTTATCATCCATGCTATTTAGCAAAGATGGGTGAATCAAATTATTTAATTTGTTCAGCCCATAGTGTAAAGGTGTATGGCCAGCTTAGGTTAAAACATGGCACTCGCAAGGGGAGCCATCCATCCAATACTTTATTTGCAAGAAGCATAAAAGCAGCAAACAAACAAATGGTTACATGTTTCAGCCCCCAAAACTGGGCCCATTTACGACTAAGGCCCATTTCTGGGGGCTGAAACATGTAAGCATTTGTTTGTTTGCTGGTTTTATACCTTTTTGCAAATAAAGTATTGGATGGACGGATCCCCTTGCAAGTGCCTTGTTTTGCCTATTGTTCAGTGAGTCTCCAGCAGAAGCTTTGCCAGGCACCGAGGTTCAAGCAGTGCGATTGGAGACAAGAGGTTAGAGCTGCTCCATGCTTTTTTTTATTGTATGGCTAGCTTAATAGTTCATTATTCTCTTTATTTTTATTTGACACTATTTTATTCTGAAACTGAAAAAAACTGCAATGGTGTCTGGGATTTACCATGGACTCCAAAATGCCTGTGTATTTTCCATTCTCTTTAAAGACTGTCAGTCCTCATTTTTGGCTAATTTTTTACATCTTCCAATCTGAAAAAAATGTAGTTAGAAAAAGTTTATGTAACTGTTCTGTCCCTGCTACACCATGCTACACCCTGTGGTCTGTATAGCTCAACATGCAGTTAAACCCTCCTATTCTGCAATAAGCCAGACTGGATGAAATCTTCAAGCTTTATTAACAAAACAGGGTGGGTGAAACTGGTAAAAAAAGAACTTATAAAAAAATATGATCAGTATGTCGGCTTCCTGTCAGTAGGCTCGGGAGGCAGAGCGGTGGTTCGTGTGGTGGCAGGTGCCGGCGGAAGTTGTAGAGAGGTCAAAAGAGTATTGGGGACTGATGCAAACTGGGTCGGTAGCTATGCGTTTCGAGGCGGAGCCTCTTTGTCAAGCAGTGATCGGCCAAAATAGGTGGAGATTGCGGGAGAATCACTTGGGCTTAAAAATGACAACTGGGCGGAGTTTGGATCTCAAAAGCCTTCCTAATAGGTAGAATTGTGAGAAGGGAAGTATGTTAATAACCGCCCACTCAATTAGGAAACGGCACCTATTAGGAAGGCTTTTGAGATCCTAACTCCGCCCAGTTGTCATTTTTAAGCCCAAGTGATTCTCCCGCAATCTCCACCTATTTTGGCCGATCACTGCTTGACAAAGAGGCTCCGCCTCGAAACGGGGAGCTACCGACCCAGTTTGCATCAGTCCCCAATACTCTTTTGACCTCTTTACAACTTCCGCGGGCACCTGCCACCACACAAACCACCGCTCTGCCTCCCGAGCCTACTGACAGGAAGCGGACATCACACAGCGCTTCAGACATACAGTGCCCCTGACTACAGCGGCTCAGCCTGGCCAGCTGAGTCCGTGCAAGAGTCTGTTGTCCCTCCGTTTGCAGTGCTCGGCGACAGAGGCAGATCACTCACCAGTTTACTGGACCCTCCAGGTCTGTATTCACCTAGACACCCAACCGGACGTCTTCTCGCAGATGACTTCTTAAATGTGAGTCCTCCGGTATATTTCAACACAGTTGTAGCACTCTTAATACATTCCTTATTCTGTTGTACCACAGGGCTCCTCTCTCTGTTTTAATAGAGCTTGCACACTGTACCCTCCACCCTTAGATTACAACAAACACCAGTTTGTACTTCTTGGCAGTGCGCTTGATTTTGTCGTTTATATTTGACTGCTATAGCCAGAAAGAAGAAGCTGATGAATCAGATCTCTGCTTCATCAGCTTCTTTTGGGGTCCACAGGTCGCCTATGGCCAATTTTGGGTGTTATCGTTTTTTGAGGTTTCACGCGCGCACGCAATGTTAAGGCTTGACTTGTTTGGCGTCTTTTTACCTGACGTGACCCCGTCTTTTATATTTTACCAAAAAATTGGGTAATAATAAATGTTTTATCATTTAATATAGGGGAAACTGTTTTTTAAAAAAAATTCGGGAATTTTTCCTTAATATAGTAAAAAATAAAAACCCCAGTGGTGAATAAATACCACCAAAAGAAAGCTCTATCTGTCCCCAAAAAAGGGTATAAAATTAATTTCAGTACAGCGCTGCATGACGGAATAAATGTCAGTCAAAGTACCGCAGCGCTGAATACTGAAAAATGGCCTGGATGGGAAGGGGGTTTAACACTGCGGATGTCAACTGGTTAAATATGTAAATAAAGTGATAGCTCACAAATAGAGTGCAAAACAAATCCATCCCTACCAGTGATGCTGCCTTAAGGGGAATTTGGGCATTTGCTTCAAACATGTGCTCAGGATGGCACTGAATCCTCCTCTCCTCGGTTCCAACATGGAGTCCCAGAGTGCACTTGTTTCCTTCTTCTGGGGTTAGAGGTTGCTGGGAACTTACCATAGA